ATGATGCTTCAGCCACGGTGGCTGAGAAGGCGGCTCTTAGGGAACTGGGCGGTGAGTCGGGATCGATTTTAGCAGTGGAGATGGCGTTGAGGTCAATGGCTGAGGATAACGGTGGAGTGGAGTTGGAGGAGTTTGTTGTGAGTGGGAAATCACGGGTTATGGTGATGAATATCGACAGGACTAGGCTTTTAAAAGAGTTACCTGAAATTAAGCAGATGAATGAGGAGAGTTCTAATGATGGAAATAGGATTAGTGATGTGGGAAAGGCTGGAGAGAGTTTGAGTGGTGGAGGGGGTTTTGGCATGGGGAGAGGAATGCCGGAGATGTGGATGGGAGGGCCGATGATGATGGGGCATAGAGGTGGTGGTGGTGGACCTAGAGGGATGGGAATGATAGGTGTTCCGAGAGGTGTCGGAGTGCCGCCTCCTATGCATAGGCAGCCTTCAGTGGGGCCCAATGGGTCGCAAGGCGGGGGAATGAGTACACCTTTGCAGAAGCCGAGGACAGAGGAGGATGATATGAAGGATCTCGAGGCTTTATTGAATAAAAAGAGTTTCCGGGAAATGCAGAAGTCGAAAACTGGGGAAGAACTTTTGGACCTAATTCACCGACCAACTGCTAGAGAAACTGCTGTGGCTGCGAAGGTAACTGTTTGTTTTAAAAAGATTTTATTTTGAATTTCGAAATATTTGACTCTTAATCAAATTTGACTGTCATGGTTTAGAAGATTTCATTTTTGTTGCCTGTGTGCAAAGTTGATTTGCGCATCTTATTGTTCATGGTAGGTTTTGTAATTACTGTAACGCACGAACAATTGTGATACCATTTTCGTCACCTGTGTGCGAATTTGATTTGCACATCTTGTTGTTCATGGTAGGTTTTGGAATTACTGTAACATACAAACAGTTAGTTACGATACAATGTCAAACTTGCTGACTTTGATCTTTACGTAGCAATTATAGTTTCCACAAGATCTTAACTATCGCTATATCCTTTGTTATCTTCGGTATTCCATTGGTGATCTGTTGTCATATGGAGCATTTACTTGCAATATTGGCTACTTGGTGGTGTAATTGGACTTTGATATTGATCTGACTCCTTGCTTCTGGTTTTTTGTTTCAGTTCAAAAGCAAAGGTGGTTCCCAAGTAAAAGAATACTGTTCGGCATTAACAAAAGAAGATTGCCGACGTCAGTCTGGTTCCTTCATTGCTTGTGACAAGGTCGGTGTAGGATCAGTTTATGCTTAAATAACTGGTAGATAGTCTGAAAAGAAAGTCTAATACTATCCAGCCAGGTCTTGACACTATGAAAGAAAATAGAAGTATCTTGATCTCCACTACTATGTTTAATGAATCTGCTACCTGATAGGTTCATTTTCGGCGCATAATTGCTCTTCATACTGATGTTAATCTGGGGGATTGTTCTTTTCTTGACACCTGCCGTCACATGAAGGTAAATTTGTCATCTATATAGTAATTCTTCTGAAGATCTACTTTGGTTGTCTGCTGAATCAAATTATTGATACTTGTAAATAATGATAGACATGCAAGTATGTCCATTACGAGCTCGACTCAACTCCAGATGTATCGCCAGTGATGATGGGGCAAGCTAGTATGCCTCCCCAAAAGCCGCTGAAGGCTCATTATTGTTCAGAAGTAGAGCTCGGTGAACCACAGTGGATTAATTGTGATATACGCTCATTTAGAATGGACATTTTAGGGCAATTTGGAGTTATAATGGCTGATCCACCGTGGGATATTCATATGGAATTGCCATATGGGACAATGGCTGATGATGAGATGCGCACTCTCAATGTTCCTGCACTGCAGACTGATGGTCTGATATTTCTTTGGGTTACTGGGCGAGCAATGGAGCTTGGACGCGAATGGTATACCACTTTTGCCTGTGATGCTGTCATAATTTTTTTTTTTTTTTAAAGAAAAGGATATCTTCCATAAGATGGTCCTAAAATATTGCTGGACGAGTCACTGCACATTTTAATAATGTGCTCACAAATATATCTCTACAGAATCCATAAAAAGCCTTGTTCACATTAAATTTGAGGTTTGCTATATGTCTTGTAAGAATGCGAGTTGTTGCATGAAGTCAGTACTAGCTTGATTCAACACCTCAGTCAGCTTATAGTGCTTGGGATGTAATTATGTCACTGGATACCATTGCTTTTACATGATAAATAAACTGTTGCCATCTAATTCTCTTGAATTTGTTTCCTTGTAGTTTGGAACTTTGGGGATACAAACGTGTTGAAGAGATCATCTGGGTGAAGACCAATCAACTTCAGCGAATTATCAGAACAGGTCGCACAGGCCATTGGCTCAACCACAGCAAGGAGCATTGCCTTGTTGGAGTGAAGGGCAACCCAGAAGTAAATAGGAATATTGATACTGATGTCATTGTTGCTGAAGTTCGAGAAACAAGTCGTAAACCAGATGAGGTGAGTACACCTCCATTGTGCAATTAAGTAGAGCTCTCAGTAGTTTCTTCCGTATGATCGTCTGCTCACTATGGATTTCCACATACTGAGGATACTGTCTTCCATGGTTCTGTTGTATGCATCGCTTGTATCATTTCATCCTCCAAATAATACTGACTTCCTGATATAAGCATTGCTAATAGAGTTGCATGACATTTTGCAGATGTACGCCATGCTAGAAAGGATAAGTCCGAGGACAAGAAAGCTGGAGTTGTTTGCTAGGATGCACAACGTACATGCTGGGTATGTTTCTTGTTATTCTTTAACTTTTCTGTTAGAAGTATTGAAATTAGTTGGGTAATTGAAAATAACTAAAGAGCATTTGCAATAGTTGCTCTAGCAGTAGAGAATTCCTCATTTTTGCGTCCGTGAACCTTTCATAGCTTTTTAAGAAAATCCCTATTCTAGATTATTGTACTTCGATTCTATACTGGTTCACCGTTCCTTTCATTTGCTTTCTTCAACCTGTGACTCAATGTAATTCATATTTGCTCTAGTTAATCTGAAGAAATAAGTCCCCTGCACAGGGCTTGTACAGGGGCTCTCACATGCGGGTGGACCGCACATGTGGGATCCATCCCCATGTGTGTGCACCTGTACAAACTCTGTGCAAATGAGTCTGTGCAGGTAGCACAGTTGTAATATGAATGCTTCGGCCTTCTCTTTTTTCATCGACGAATATAGACATGTAATCATCAATAGACATATCAATGGATAGCAATGGGCCGGGCCAGCCCACGAGCTCGGCTAGGGCTTATGGCTCGTGAAAGTTGAGCTTGGCTTGGCCCATGAGTCGTGAGCCCATGAGCCACAAGCTTGCAGGGCCAGCCCAGCCCATGAGCCGCTTGCCAGCTCTTGATTTTTTTAATTTTTTGTAATTTTTTTGGGCACATTTTTGACATTTTTGTTTAAATTTACATATTTTTTGATGAGCTGAGCTCGTGGGCTTGTAAAAAATGGCTCGTGGGCCGTTGGCCCATGAGAGTCTCGGGATTGAGCCCCCTGCTAGGCTCGGGCTCCGGCTCGTCATTTGACGAGCTCGAGCCGCCCATGAGGTGACGAGTCACTCGGCCCATTTGACATCCCTACATATCATACACAGGCTCTATCGCCAATCCTCCATTGGTAGTGTAGTTTTAAAAAATCTTGAAATCTTCTGAAATGATACTTGATTACGTCTGTATCAAACCACGTTGATTATCAGGTGGATATCACTTGGTAATCAGTTGCAAGGAGTACGGTTGGTAGATGAAGGGCTGCGAGCGAGATTTAAGGCCGCATACCCTGATGTGGAGGTGCAGCCAGCATCACCACCAAGGGCAGCTCCGATGGAAGTGGAAGCTACTGCTCCTCAAATGAGAACACCATTTGTTGAAGGTGAAACAAAATTATCAGGAAGTCAATTTGCCATTTTTTTAAGGTAAAACAAAATTATCAGGAAGTCAATTTGCAGAGCCTGCTGGATCAGCAGCAGCCTATCCATTTGAAGCAAAGCCTATGAATGTTGATGCAGAGATGATAAGCTAGTTAGCTGTTATGTAAGATCACGAGTAATTTGGCATCAGATTATTTATGATTTTGTTTGAGATTATATATAATCAATGCCTGTGACAGGTGAACAAACTTTAATTGAAGTAGCAAGTTTTTAGTCTTTGATGCCAACTAATTAATTGTGTAATTTAAGCAGGATAATGACCTGAGAGATTATAATATTAGCAACTAATATTTTACAAAACTAAACACGGAATTTATTTTTATTGGGAGGAGAGAGAGAGAAAGTGGGAGCTACAAGAAAAGGGCTAACTTTGTTCGTGGTCGTTGTACTTTGAGCCAATTTCTAATTGAGTCACTATACTTTATTTTTTGTCAATTTGATCATAATACTTCAATTTTATCTCTATTTAGACTAATGTGATAGTTATGTGCCAACGACCATCCTATGTGACTGTCAAAAAATAACATAGACGAATGATACAATAGAAAAATCTTATGTTTTTGGGTATTTTCAGGGATTTTGATATTTGTACACGGGTGGTTGATACGTCTGTAACATGGGGGGGTGGGGGTCACGCTCAATAAAATAATGCATGGATTCCCCTCTCGTGAGGGGAGTGTACACGGGTTGTGTACAAATAGCATGTTCCTATTTTCAGTCCATAAGTTTAATGTGTGAAGAACTCATGTATTAATTTTTTTAGATAATTTTTGACGGCCACGAAAAATGGTCTTTTAGTATGTAACAATCATGCCAAACATCAATTGTTCTAAATTGAGGCGAAATTAAAGCATAGTAATCCAATTGACACAAATTAAAGTATAATGATTCAATTTAGAATCGAATCAAAGTAAAGATACCACAAATGAAATTAAACCTTCATGATGTACTTGCAATAATAATTCGTTCAATAGGGTATCATGCCCTTTATGTCGGTGGTCGGTTGTGACTCCTCGGAAAGGCCAAAAGAGAAAGAAAAGAGAAATAAAGTGCGAATTACAATATGAATCTCGAGAAAAATATATCCTTCAATAATATCTTTCTACAAATCAAAGAATACAACAAAGTTGAAAACAAAAACATTAAGAAGCAATTAAAACTCAGCATGACATGACAAGATGATGGCTCATGGCTATATCATTTATCTTGCTAGAAGTAGAGAAGGGAAGCAAAAAATCCAATTAGTACTGACATCAAAATTGGGATTTTGTGCAATGGAGCAGCAGAAGCCTGTACTGGAATCGACCCAAAAACAGTAGGATAAGAGGGAGAAGGAGCAGACGTCGCCGGCGAAACTGCAGCATAAGATCCATTTCCAGACACAGAAATGTGTAGTTTCTGTGATTTTTGGCAGTGCCCATCAACTCCACTCGTCAAGTAAAACTCCCCCGGCGCAGTTATATTGAAGAGGGAATTTCCATTATCCATGTACAAGATTGGATCTTTCAAGTTGCAGCTATTGTAGGATTCTTCTGTCACTTGTATGACAGAATCTTGACTTGGTGGGTACAAGAAAACTGCACAAACATCATCAAAATTAAATGATAAAGCTAAATAACAAATCCATTATACAAATACTTGATCAACTTACAGAGGGAATCTCCAATCTTGAACTCATGATTCTTGGACCATTTAGAGTAGACATTTGGATTTGATTCAGTGGGAATGCCCCAAGCATCTAAATCTCCAACTTGGTAAATTTTGCCATGGACACTGGATTGAATTAACGCGAGAAACAGAAGAGCATACAAAAGAAAAAATCTCGGAATTCTAAATGTAGCCATATCTATTACCTTCTCTGCCACTCTTTGCCTTTTGTCAAGATCTAGAGAGGTAGACACTAAAAAGTTTAAGAGAATGTGGTTGGCCAGACAATGTATAAAACCATTGCCCTGATTGGTAGAGATAACAAGGCAAGCGAAGAGTGAATTTACTATACTGACCCTCATTTGAAAAATTCTAGTTAACATTTAAGAATTGAGCATGGCGGTACATGGAGGGAATAATAGGTCAATTATTTGAATAACAATGACTCGTGGTATAGCTGGAGAATCTAAAAGACTGGATGCAGCTCAACATGGGAGGATAGTAATTTGTCATTGTCATCAACTATCATGTGGAGTCAATATTTGATATTAATATTAGTAAATACAATTAAGCTATTTGTACATGTATTTGACATCATTTTTTACTGATAGGTGATGTGGCGAGATTGTAATAGTTGGATTAAATGTGTAAGAAGTGAAAGATGGAGTGAAATTGTGCTAAGTGTAAATTCGATAAGTCGGGGTGTAAATCAAGATGTATATGTAGCAAGATTGTAGTAAATAATATTTCAACTTGATAATTCGAACCATGTTCCTATCTAACCCAAAATGAAATGGATAATCCCATGTGGGAACTTTCTTTCTTTGTTTTGTTGTGTATCCCCCATAAAGACAGTGTTTGAAGCAACGTCACAGCTTTGTAGTAACTTTGTTTACGGGTTATTCTAAAAGGTTGAAAACATTAGAGTTTGATAATTTTATTTTATTTTCTCACAAATGTTACTCGTACAGATTTTTTGTAAAGAAGGATTTATAGTTGCTGAGATGGCATAATTTCATTGACTGCTTTAACTACTTTTTTTTTTTTTTTGGTTTAAAATTCAATGAAATCTTGTCGATTGGCATTTTGTAAACCAGTTTGTAAAAACTACCTATATATGTAGCATCTCTCTCTCTCTTAATTTTTAATTACAAATGAAGGTGTTGGGATGTCCACATTCTCTGGTCAATCAATATGGACCCTTGGAAAAAGCCTAATGTGAGATCTGTATTTGAATCTCTATACTAATCAAATGAGATGTTTCATGTAATAGACCATCTAAGTTACTGCTTATAAACAATATATAATCTCATTGACTTCTAAACCCCAAAACAAAATTACTGCACACAAATATCAAAACAAGTTTAATAAGAATGGAGTTGAGGGAATCATAAAAAATAGCCCGTTTTCCCCCCCCCCCCCCCCCCGGCCCTATAATTACTGCTAATCAAAATCAATGTTTTTCTTTCATCTGAAATTTTCAGTTTCAAAAAGGGGTCAGCATGTTACGCAAAGAGTGTCAAGAACTGCAGCTTTGTACTGTGTTAGAAATATCTTAATTTAGATGGTAACTGAACTCGTACATTTTGTGCTTAAAGCGTCGTAGCAGCATTTTCCATTGCAAGTGCGCCCTTGTAAGTTTGGTTTCCACCTATAAACCAGTTCATGTGGATGACAACACAACCCGGAATCTCCTATTCCTTTGACAGTTAATCAACCAATTCATCTCAAGTATATGACTCAAGCAAAATATGCAGGTCAGTGTGAACTTCTACAAATAATTTTACGGACAATTCTGACCGAACTTTCTTAACTGATTTGTATTCTATGAAATATATAATTTATTGCAGAACTAAATAAAGGAGAACACATATATAGAATGGTAAACTAATCCATTATTCAACATACAAAAATACAAAAGTCTCAATTTAGTAATTTCACAAAATTATCTAAAACAATAAAAAACAAATGAAGAATAACTCCCTTATTTTCTTATTCCTTCTGAAGTGAAATCAAACATTCGATCTTGACTTTATCACCACTACACTACTGTATTTGTCCGAGCCAGTACTTGAATTAATATTCATTAATCTTAACTCACACCAAGTAGCCTGATCTTCAAATAGGATTATGTTGTTCACGATGGGGTGTGTAACGTGTGTTCTGTATGGTTGAAGATCATGGGTTGTGCTTCCAGATACTTCAATACAGTTCCAGCCAGTCAGATATCCCCGGAGTAGGTCAGAATGCCTTTGAACATGGAACAGTAGGTTCGTCGTATGTAAAAACGTTTTCTCTCAAAGCTTGTTCGTCTCTTAATGACCCTCTTCACTTATGTAAAGACTTCTAAAAGGCCCGAACATCTTTTACCTTAAATAAAGAATTTATGCACCGTAAGAATCTAGTAAAATATGGTTGATATGGACAATAATTAAATTAAGAAAATTTTTTATTAGTTAAAATAATCTTTCATTCATTTAATTACTTGACCAATCAACATTGTCCAAGATGGTAAATATATATATTCTTGTGTATGTTGCTATAAGGTATGTAAAAGTTTCAGCTTGTTTAGGGTTTAGAAAACTAGTAGTATCGCAAGTTAACTTGTAGCACCCAGTCAATCTTGACTAATTGGCTTACCTTGTCTTCGAACATTACTTTTGAATGTGCGTTTGGCACATGTTTTGACAATTGAAAAAATCATTCTAATTTAAGCAAGCCAATAAATAAATAATAAGTAAAAGTATAACATATGGTTTACTTGCACTCTCGAACCTGTCCACCGAGTAGGAAGAGGCCTTTGGCTCTCAAATCTATCAGGAGCTACCACCAAAACTTGGACTCACCAATTTTTGCTTTGGTTATTTTAAACTAGGACTGCAAGTAAAAATCGGAAAATCGAACCAAAACCTCATTTTAGAAACCATCGGTTTAGTGTTACGTGGACCTGATCAACGAAATGGTTTTGACCCAAACCAAATGGGTCAAAATGGTTTGATTTAGGTTTGAGAATTTTAATTGCGGTTTAAAATAAAATCGGACCGACGAAAAAATATATAAAAATGAAAAAAATGAATTTTTTGAAAATTCATCCAAATATGTAAAATTCAATAATTTTGTCATTTGTGGATATTTTTGTCAATTTCTTATTTTCTAATATAGATATATTATTATTATTACTACTACTACTACCCAATAATCCTAATATATATCTAATAATATCAAGATTAACATAATCTATCAAAAGCCATTTTTCTCTTCAGAATTTAGATGAACTCTAGCCGACACGCAACACAGTCTTGAGCCACCGACACCACACTCTTCTTTTTCAGATTTTTCATGCCTTTTCAAAGTTGAATTGAAGTTCATTATACCAAATTAGAGACAAAGAGATCATAAACCTTTAGTGATAATATTTGCCACGAATAAAGTTTTAGATCAATAATTTTTTTGGAGCAAACTAAGGTAAGAATTTGAAATTAAATGCATTTCGTAACACCATACAAATGTAAATTTATGCAATTATTATGATTATATATTATAAATAATTGCTTTATTATTGTGGTTGGTTATTCTCTTCATCTAATCAGTATCCTTTTTTTAGATATGATGATCACGAGATCTTGTTGGACATCATTATATTTTTTGGGCCTTATATCTATTTTAATAGACTTGTATTGTAACTTTTTGTATCATCATTAGCATAAAAAATGTGATCAAAAATGAAAAAAAACTATGTTTTAGTTTATTGTGATTTCACTTTGATTTAGTTGGTATTTAGATTTATAGTAGATATATTTAGCCTCTGTTTGAGTCATATTTTTCATATCATCATAATTAGAAAATTGACCGTTGAAGAGGAGGCTGGATCCCACATATGAAACAGCAGGTCAACAAAAGTGGCTGAACTTGTGAAATAACGGTCCAAATTTTCATTTTTTGTCCCAAAAATTTGGTTCAAATAGGGGCTTAGTTTGTTTTAAATTTATTACTAGTAAGATATAAATATAAATTGAATTCAATGAATTAATGACATAAAAGTAGACAGGCAAAAAAATATATGACGAAACTGACAGTTTAAAACAGGACCAAACTGTTAGGTTTATATTTGAGTTTCTTTTTTCAAATCCTTCAAAATGGTTTGGTTTAGGATTGGATTTTTTTCAAATCAGTTTAAACGGTTTGGTTTAAAAATCTGTTAAAAATTGGTAAAATCAGACCGCTTACACCCCTATCCTAACAATACAAGGTAATTGATGGGTTTTGCTTTGGTTATCCTAGGCCCTGCACTCATAGGGCCTAGGCACTACGAGATGTGAAAAAAATGAAGAATTGAAACACAGAGGCACTGCCATCGGCGCTTAGGCACTACAGGTGAATTGTTCGTGGAGCTTAGGCGCTGCGTTGGGGTCGTCTGGGGCACGTTTTTAGTTCGTTTTGCAGTCTATGAAAACCTACTTTCTACAAAAACAGGGCACCTATAAATACAATTTTCTCATACTTTTAAAGGGGTTGGCGCATTGAGAGGCTAGAGATTACAATTGGAGAATCAAAGGAGAAATTCAAGGGAGAAAATAGCGAGAAATTTACCGCGTAAAGCATTAATTGGAAGTGGAAGAAATTCTTGGTGAAAGATTTACTTTTTCTTCTACATCTTTAATACAAAATTCGGTGATGTATTATAAGACAATTTATTGTTTTTCTTCTTTCGTTAGGAATAACTAAATCCATTGTTAGGACAAATAATGTAAACTAATTGAGATCCTTTATATTTTTTATTAAGATTCTTGGTTATTATTGTCCCATGTGTTGATGTTACTATGAATTGAATACATTAAAGTACCAGATTACTAATTTGTTGATTTCGTGAATTATTTACGAATAAAGATATGAGTTTAGGATTTAGAATATGTAGTAAAAATTCGATAAATTGGTTTAAACAGCAGAGATACCTATACTAATTATTACGGTCATAATTGTATTCCTAGAACGAAGAACTCATTTAACTAAGTTAGATTTAAATAGAAATATAGAATTTAATTAGTTAAATAGAATCAATGAGAACTTGAGAGGGGTAAATCGTATATAATAGGACAATTCAATCGAACACTACATTTGGAAAGAGTCTTGATTTAAAATGTAAAGGAGATCAATGGGTGGAATTATTCTGCCTTAACTCTATTCATAATTTGATTTTCAAACTAATTGTGTGTGCATTCACTTATTTTCTCGCATTTAGATTAAAACTCAAATCCTGCAAATTTTTATTTGTTTTCATCAAATAGTGATTAGGGAAAAAATTGAATTAAGTGCTAGAGCATGATCCTC